TTCACCATGTTGACCAGGATGGTCTCGATCTCTTGACCTCGTGATCCACCCGCCTCGGCCTCCCAAAGTGCTGGGATTACAGGCTTGAGCCACCGTGCCCGGTGGCTTATTTCATTTTTATTTATTTTTTGTACAGGCAGGGTTTCGCCATGTTGCCCAGGCTTGTCTCACAATCCTGGGATCAAAAGCAATCCGCCCCACTTGGCCTCCCAAAGCGATGGGGTCTGAGCCACTGCACCTGGCCTATATCACTTAAACACATTTTTTGAAGATGAAAAACAGAGCCTCAATGTGGAGTCTCATTTTACTTCTTAATGTTATATAGAAAACAGTACATACATGGCTTAATTGTGAAGTACTACAGTTTTAATAGTTTTCCCCCTCTGATGACATGCTAGTGTTTAGCCTGATATTTTTAATTTCCCAATTTCTGTTTGTTTGTTTTTTTAAAACAGGGTCTCCCTCTGTCACCCAGGTTGGAATGCAATGGTGCGATCTTGGCTTATTGCAGCCTCAACCTCCCAGGTTCAGGTGATCATCCCACTTCAGTTCCCCCAGGTAGTTGGGACTACAGGCTTGTGTCACCATGCCTGGCTAATTTTTTGCATTTTTAGTAGCGACAGGGTTTTGCCATGTTGCCCAGGCTGGTCTCGAACTCCTGAGGTTAAGCCATCTGCCCACCTTGGTCTCCCAAAGTGCTGGGATTACAGGCATGAGCCACCTGGCCTAGCTAAGTTTCCAAATAATTTCTAACACTGAGGCTAATCACAGAGATCTCTCAAAATTAAAAAATTACTGCTTCCTCTTTAAACACTACTCTCTCTCTTTTTGGAGCCCTTCTTCCATTGCCAACTTCATTTCTCCGTAATCCCACCCTTCACCTCATCTAGGGCCCTACACTAGGGCAAATAAATAAACATAAGCATAAGATGACAGCAAGAGTAAAGAATCTAAAAATAAAAATCATTTTCTTCACTAATTCCAGAAAATCATTTTCTCCATTTCTGTCTTTCCTTCATGCTTTTGACGCATTGACATTAGGAGGCAAGTCTCTATTAGGGTCTGCCAAAATGAAAATGACACAGGAGGCCGGGCGCGGTGGCTCACGCTTATAATCCCAGCACTTTGGGAGGCCGAGGCGGGTGGATCACGAGGTCAAGAGATCGAGACCATCCTGGTCAACAAGGTGAAACCTCGTCTCTACTAAAAATGCAAAAATTAGCTGGGCATGATGGTACGTGCCTGTAGTCCCAGCTACTCGGGAGGCTGAGGCAGAAGAATTGCCTGAACCCAGGAGGCGGAGGTTGCGGTGAGCCGAGATCGTGCCATTGCACTCCAGTCTGGGCAACAACAGCAAAACTCCGTCTCAAAAAAAAAAAATGACACAGGAGCTAGCATTCTTTTGGCTTTTATCCTTGCCAGGCTCATGAAGAACAGAAATGCACACATTACCATAGAAGTGTGGTCATAAAGAAAGGTGTGTACTTTAGCACAGAAATTAAAACATATCTGTTGAGATTGAATTGAAAGCATCATTAGAGTTTAGTCACATTATGGGCTAAATAGGTTTTTATGCTGGTCAAATAATTTACCAACTTTCATATTATTTCTTCTTTTTTTATTTTTTATTTTTTTATTTTTTTTTTATTTTTTTATTTTTTCTTCTTTTTTTAAAAATGTTTAAAATTGAGAGGGGGACTTGTTATGTTGCCCAAGGTGGTCTCAAACTTTTGGTCTCAAGCAATCTTGCCTTGGCCTCTCAAAGTGCTAGGAATACAGGTGTGGACCACCACACCTGGGCTATATTATTTCTGTGAGAAATAATATCCTAAGTTATACATAATTGGTTTATAAATTATTTTTTATTACAAGAACCCCTGTGAATTATATTCATGAGCTTTTGCTTATCATTTCCATACAAGTTTTTAAAAAAGCAAAATAAAAAAAAACACATATATACACATGAGGTAGGAAGCCACGTCCAGGTGAGACACCCTTATACAGGAATAAAGTGGGCTAGGCGGCTGGGTGTGGTGGCTCATGCCCGTAATCCCAGCACTTTGGGAGGCAGAGGTGGGCAGACCACAAAGTAGGAGTTTGAGACCAGTCTGGCCAAAATCATGAAACGCCGTCTATACTGAAAATACAAAAAATTAGCCAGGCATGGTGGTGGGCACCTGTAGTCCCAGCTACTTGGGAGGCTGAGGCAGGAGAATCACTTGAACCTGGGAGGCGGAGGTTGTGGTGAGCCAAGA